ACTCATGGCTATGGCTATGATGATGAAGGGTAAGTAATTGGTTGATTAGTGTTATTATATACAAATATTGTATTATATTAGAATCTAAAAAAACTAATTTAATCCTAACAACAATGCTATAATTTAGTAATTTCTCTCTATAATATATATCTCTATAATATTTACAAGTGTAATACGAAGGTAAGGCAAGTGATGAATCGATTTACTAAGGTGACGACATTGATGCATATTAGGGAGAACTTGATACAGCGACTACAGCTATCCACTGCTACGCCCCTTCCTATAGCTACTCTGTAGTTAAAATTAACCTTACATTTTTAACAAGCATTTGCCTGAAATTTTAAACAGATTTATAAGCATTATATAAAAAAACAGACAATAACTCGGTTATATATAATTAAATAAAGTCTAATTTGACGATGCATCCAAATAGATACAGCCTGGCTATGTACCTAATCGCACATAACTAATTAAAGAGTAACCCATTTTTGTTGACTCTTTGATAGTATATAATTCATTAAATTTTTTATTTACTATGATATATAAAAATAATTGCCATGCTTATAATATTGGTGTTAAGTCCGAATATGAATCTATATTTGTGTATTGTGCATAAAATATTTAATTAATAAATAAATAAAATAATATTCAGGTTTTAAATGTAAATAATATCATGACAATTAGTCTAGACACTCGCGTTTTATCATCTCTAAGATGATTCTTTATTTTTCTTTCGTTTTTATTTTGACCAAACGAAATCATGTTTTTAGACTCCAAATATAGATTTTGTTTCTTAGAGTTTGTTTTCAAATTATATATTTGATTTAATTACTACATAATTATAACAGGTGGGTAGTTCTACTTACCTCATTACTAAATACTCTCTTCCTAAATTTGTGAATTATGATGAACATGGAATTTATATCATATTCTATTGCCATCAAGTAGCCTGCTTTGTAAACTGTGTTTCACTGTAGAGGTTGACATATGTATAGCTGGGGAATTATAAGTTTTAGATATATGATAGCTTAGTCCTCGGGTATGTTAACTCATGAGGGCTACCATGGGAGTCATATGACATGATTGACTAAAATTTTATTTTGAAGTGAAGTAATTAATAATGTAACAAATATAATATTCTGTAATTCTTAATAGTTAATGTGCGCATTTTCATATATTAATATTTTAGGTAGAATTTAAGAATGGCTAACTTCAAGAAATTTGTAATTTATGCTAAACATGGCTTTTTGATTAGGGATAATAAATCACCAGTAAGAGTCCCCTCAGATTTTTTTTATATGCAAGACCTCGAGGTAATTTTTAAAAACTAACGATGATTCCCTAATTACAGAGGTTTTTCATACACACCTACAATAACTTTTTTACTAGACGTTTAGTCGATACACACTTCAAAGCTAATGTGTGTTTAGTTATTTCTTCATACATATGTTGGTGTATTAACGTAACTAGGAAAAAAAAAAATTACTGAAGATGTTTTTTAAGGATTTCTAATAACAAATATATGATGGATGATGGAGACCTATCCGATGGAAAATGTTAACCGTCGCCTACATAATAGACAATACTAGGGACATCGCATCATCATATAATACACATTATAGCCCTCGGGTCTTGTTACGATGTCACGCCTCCATTTCCTGTAAGCTGCCATGTGCCATCCCTAAACTGAAGAACAGATTATAAAGTAAGAAGCTGAGCAGTTAATCAATTGAGGCAAATATACCTTCTATTAGTACGAAATCTACAGCAAGAGTTGGAAATATAAATTAAAACACGAAGGCTTTCATATTAGCTAGATTAGAATTCACGAGGTTAGTTGGGGAAGCAATCCACTACACCACAACTCTCTCAAGCGGTTCATTGTATAAAGAACATTAGGAAGTTAAGCAAAGTCAGCATGAATATTAAACAATTATTAGAAAGAACGGACGGAAATAAGAGTAGCTTCAACACAAATAAATATATACCTACATAGTCAATATTAACATTACATAAAATTTGATTTAGACATACTACTTTCAATTACCACTCTCACTTCAAAATGCATATAATTTTGAAGTGAGCGTATATGTTTTGCTAACAACGAACTCAAACACTAAATTAGATATTAATTATAATTATGAATAGAAAATAGACAAATAAAAATCGGTGAGTATTAAAAAAAGTAAAAGGAGAAGTGAATTTTCCTTCGTGAATTTTAACACAAAATTACTCACGACTGCAAACTCAATTAGGGTACCAGAAACTATATGGACTGTTGACGTAGTAGTAAATGAAATATTTAACATGTTCCTTCCTAAAAGACCGATAACTCACATGCCTTAGTATTGCAGCTATTAATGTTTGAAGGTAGTCAATAATGAACCAATATATTGCCGGCTAGTTTTAGGGGACTTTAGGGGACTTATAAGAGACAACTGGAAGGTTTTCACTTACCAATAAGTATTGCAGCAGCCAAGTTTTACTTGGCTTATGACAACTTTTATTTTTTTAATTAAGATATCACTGTTCTTACATTTCAGTACATCTTACATATCATTGTTACTGTCAGCTGTTTTGATATATTTTTACTAGGCAGGTTAAGGCTAAAAGGATCTAAGTCCTGAGTCTGTTAGACGTACTGTACAGTAAAAAAATCTAGAACCAGTATTGAAGCAAGGGTATTAAATAGTGATATGAATATTAAAGGTCGGCAAAAGAGCACCATTGGTGTTTCAGGCATCCATAGGCTACCGTATTATTTTACTATCAGATAGGCCGCATGTTTGAATTCCAATATCGTAGTTAAAAAATAATAACGTGGATGATAAATTTAGAGGTTACTTTGGGAAATACGTGTGTAAAATTTTGTCTGCGTCTATGTTAAGATCATCTATTTCAGATAGCTTGCTTTCTAAGATGTAGATGTATTTGATGGTGAGATAAGGTAGTAAAATTATAGGATAACTATCTGTTATCCTATAATTGCCTTAAGTCCATGGCAATGGAAATTCAGGGTATCACAAACGGCACTTGATACCCTGATGTACGTATGTTATTTATGTACCTATGTACGTGTATATAGGCGACTATTACCATTAGCTTCTTTACTATTCGAATTACATAAAAACAAGCAATAACGATGTGTAGCATGTATCCAAAAATAAGAATAAAAAAAGAAGTAAAGGATATATATATAAAAATGTATTTATATATGCGTCTATTACCACTTACCATCAGATGGGCGGTCAGTTTCTTTATTTTTCCAATTATATAAAAATAAGCAATAACGATGTCTAATATGTACCTAATAATAAGTATATAATAAAATATATATATATATATATATATATAAAAGCAACAAGTAGTTTAATACAAGGTTAATGGTTATCTCAATCCTTCCTCAATAATTTACAAATAGAGTATTTTACGGTACCCTGTATAGCGGAGGATCACATATATACATAATCATTATATTTTTTACATAATAAGCTTAAACTATTATAAACTATAATATACCAATTAAATATTGATTAATTAATAATAGTAATTAAGTGAAGTAGCTAAGAATCGTTTAGGTAATAAATTAATATGCCGATATATTAAAATTAATTATTATGTACAAAATTAAGTTAATCGATTTCTTATTAAAATACGAGCATTCGCCGTCCTCTATACGGAAATAAGAAAGGTTCCTTTCAAATCAGCAAAAAAGTTACATAGTGATGCATTTTTAATTTGTCTAGGCTATTTAATCATTTTCTATTTATGTACAAACTGTTTCCCGCGGTCTTGTTCTCGTCATTTTGTTTTCTACTATGTGTATTTTTGAAGACTATTTTCATAGGTAAAAGGTCAATTAAAAGTTTCATGTTGTCACACCTAAAAAAATTCATCGGTTATTTTGACTATGCAACTACTAAATAAAATATTAGTAAAAATGGAAATAAATTGAAAATAATATATAATTAGAATATAAATTTTAAAATATTATAAACTATCATTTTTAAAGATTTTAATTAAATGCCTAATCTATACATATAAATAAAATTGGAGTGTCTACTTGTAACATTGAAATAACCGTTTTTTACTACATGCATATGAATATAGGACATATACCAAAAAAAACACTTTTTACAATTTTTGTTTGTCTGTCTGTCGGTTTGTTTGTTCCGGCTAATCTCTGAAATGGCTGAACCGATTCTAACTAGACTTTTATTGGCAGGTAGCTGATATAATAAGCAGTAACATAGGCTACTTTAATTTTAGAAAAATAAAGTTAAATTGCACGCGGACGAAGTCGCGGGTGCACCTAGTCACAAATAAAATTGAATTTATATAATTTTGTTATTTTTTTCGTTTATCGTATATATAGTATATGTATTAATCAAACAAATAGATTGACAGGTATTTATTCTAAAATTATTGTAATAAATTAATTAAATTAGGAAAGCTAATCGTAAAATTAAGTTCCCTAACTGACCTGATAATCTATGTATATTTTTACATTTCTGAAATATTATATTATATATACACCTTTTTTACAACTACATGTAATGTAAGCTCTTTGATTGAAATATATATATTAAAAATATATGTATATATAATAGCAATTTAAAATAATTGTTACATCAAAATAAGAGTAATTTAAAACATCAATTTTTGCATTAAGAAAATAAAATATAGCCATAAGTAACTACATCGATTATTATATAGATAAAACTCACAAATTTAATACATATCTACATCTAAACCTAACAGTTGGTTGCTTCTTCTAACAAACCAAAATTCGAAAAAAAAAACAAGCAAATATCAACCTTACAATTACAGCATATAACACATATTAGCATGCCTCATTACATACTTTTTACAATCAGCCTTCTATGAAAATATAATTGACATAAGCTCTACACTGAGTCATATAAAAGGTGAGCGAAACAATCACGTTATCAAAGTGTAACAGCATTCATTCCCGCGCACACGTTTCAAAAAAATTAAAAATGTATAGTGTTCTATACTTAACATTAGTGGCTTCAGCGATGGCTCTCCCCAATCCTGAGATTCGTGATACAAACAAAATGGATACAATTGAATCGGCAGCTAGAGCGATGGGCAAAGATTGCTCCAGTGGGATATTTAGTCCGACCTGTTTGAAAATCGAAGCGATTTCCATGCTAGAGAAACTAGGTTCTAAGGATGAATTGCGATTACTTCCTGGAGTTAGTTTAGTTAAAGAAGCCAAAGAGAATGACAGTAAATCCGAGGAGTTTGCTGCTGAATTGGCTAGATCGCTGCCATCGAAGCCTGATGAGAGATTAGACAAGTACTTGCTATACAAACTTGGAAATTACTTGGAGACGCACACTGTGAAACTCAGGTTGTTGGATGAGGGTGCCACGGAAGAAGCTAGGGCGTTGGTTGGAGATGCAAGAGGCAAGGGTGGTGGTCTTGGAGGGGGAAAGAAGGGTGGAATGGGCGGATTATTAGCTATTGGAATGTTATTCAAAGGTATGTAGCAAATATAATAATAGGGGCGTTTATAAGGACGTTGATATCCTACAGATTAAAAAAATTCGAACTCGTACTAATTAATATTTATTTCTTTATTTCAATATCAAACTATTTGGCCTATTTTATTAGTAAATTAAAATTATCTTATAGCTAATGTTAATAAACAAATAACAATAATAAAATCAGACCCGACTATTTAAACCATTACTTTGCTATGGAGCACCGAACATGATTGATATATCTAATTGATTATAAATAAGGCTTTATATTGTAAAAAATCTACAATTACTAAAACAAATAGTGTTTCTTTTATAGTTATATGTGCAAATTAGGTATTGAAATACTATACATATATTATTAAATATAGGTATATAAAAGCAGAGAACTAACAATATTATATTGAGTGACATATTTGTAGGATCTTATGATCCTTGGAATCTAACAGCTTATCATTAACTTCCCAAGCTTTATAATAGATACTAAAATTTTACATATACAAGTATTTAATTATATTTGTCACATTTCTTCTTTTCCAGAGCTAAATTGATTTTTACGTAGGATAATATCTTTAACGTAGAAAATCGGTAACGTTTAATTTAAATTTAAATGTAAAATATTTATTAATTTATGGGACTAATTACTCATTTTATTCTTTACTTGTTTTAGTCGGTAAATATATACACAATTTCAAATACATACATACGCGTATTTAGTCCTATATACATTGTAATTAGTAATTAAGTACCTCCACTTCACTTTTGTTAAACAAATAAGCACTTTCTCACAATTTCAGAGGCATGATACCTATCATGTCTTATGTCTATATGCCTAACTACAAAAGAAAAAAAATCCTTATACTATTGATCTATTAATACCTTATAAAATAGGACTTCATTCATAAAATACATATACATACACACGGAAAGAAGATTCAATATTTTCAAGGGAACAAAATATTTTTACGATTTTTCACTGATAGCTCATTTATATCACAATATCATATAATGTAACCCCACAAAATAAAATTTACTATTCTATTCATTAAGTCCATATTTTAAAAGTACGCAGTAAAAAAGATGACAATCAAGCATATAATCAAGAATATAACATCCCGTAAGCCACTTCATAGAGCTTCGAACTTAGGAAAGAATATTTCCTACATGTTAATTTTGTTTGAAGGGTGATATGCCAATGAATTTTAGAGTATACAGGGATAACAGTTATTCGTCAAGTAATGTGACTATAAAATCTGTTATATCCATAGTCTCACATATAGATATTATATCATAGGCAAAGGTTGACACTTTTCATCTTACAGGTGAATAAAATGTTTACAATTTCGAATAGTTCAAAATTCTGTCTTTGTTATAACTGTTCGAAGCCCTATGAAGTAGCTTACGGGATGTTATATTCTTGATTATATGCTACATGCATGGCTGCTTGGCTTCTGAATAAATATTTAAAAAAAAACGTCTATGCATATGGCAATCTCCAGTTTAGCGCTTTTACTAATGAAATACAATTTCACACTATATCAAATCAAATCGACATGTCTTTATTCATGTAGGTACATTAAATACTCTTATGATACTCGTATATAATATCTACCGTCAGTTCAAGTGCTTTCGAGCTATGAAAACTGAGAAGAAACTCAGCTTTTATGTCACCTTATTCGAAACACCGATGTATCTTTTGGGTTTAATTCTCCCCCAATGCCCTTCATAACATGCTTTGCATCCCTTTGCTTTCTACAATCGGGAATAAAAGGCAACAAAGAGCTGAATAATTTTTACTACATTTTTCAATAGAATTCTACGGATTAAATACGAGAGAATTTTGAAAAGCTTTTTTACAGAATACTTAATGGTACTACTTACAGGATGGACTATATTATGAAAATGGTAATCTTCAGTATGTACGTAGCGAGAACTCATATTCATTGAAAAAAGATAAAATTACCCAAATACAATACTTACTCAATGCTATAATTTATTATGTTTGATATTATTTTATTATTAAATTACATATCGTATTAACTTTTTGTCCATTCAGCTTGTTCAATGAATGCTTGAATTTATAAATGCTATATTTTGTAGTGCTTCAATCATCATTGAGATACGACTAGGTATAGTGATAGCTTTCTTTTCAACAACTTTAAAAAGTAAGATATCTCAATTCGATTATATATTTTTGTATACATAATATTTGACAAAGTTTACTCTTCAATTATTTCATTGGTAGACGTATCAATAGCATCAAAGGCTAAAATATAGAAAATTCTGTTTTCAATATATTTAGTCAATATTATTACTCCGTTTTACCTATCAGTATTCATACGTATATGAATATAAAATTTGCATCAGATTATTATTGTCTATTATATTTAACTTTCAACATGTAATCTCGATTCAGCGGACAATAAATAGCTGAAATTACTATAAAGTTACATCGGATAGTACCTCGATTACCGACGCGTAACGAACCAAGTCCGTCGTGAGGAGCTCGGCTTTCTTTTTAATAATCTTTATATTTTCAACTACCAGTAATTATACTTTATGAGGAGCTTATAATCATTACATACATTTTATCAATTTATGAAAACCATTGTAACCATTTATTACTTTACAAAAAACTAAGTTCGTCAATACTCACAGTATTGCAGTAGCTAAATGTATTAGTATAGATCAGCTATTCAAATGAGGATCAAATCTACGACCACCTCAGCCGAGGTTAGAACCCCTGCCCTCGTGAGCGGTGCCCTCAAACTATAGTCGCATCTGTCAGGCAAGAGTTAGCCTTTAACCGCATACGTCCTTTTGAGGGTTTGGAATGCCTTTACCATTTTTGTTATAGGATTTACCATTATGAGTAGTCTGAAAAAAATGTCTGTTGATTTCAAAGAATATATCATGAACAACTTTATCGTCGACGTAACAATTAATTAACAGCCGGTTGCAAGATACAGATCTATCAATGTAAGAGGAGCAATTAACCTTCTCTGATGGCAGACATCTCTGCTTTAGACATCTTAGTTTTAGTTCGACTTTTCCTTATCTCGTATCAATGTATTCATATTTTATACATATTATATAAATGAGATATTATAATTAACATGATAATAGTATTAAAGAGTTCTTCGAGTGGATATTTAAAAAATACTGGGGATAACAAAATTGTGCTCAATATTTCTTAATTCATACTTCAGTGTACTGTCAAATAATTATTTTGCTCACTTATATAATTAAATTTAAAAGAAAAGCAAATATAAATCAAATACTTAGTTCCTTTCGCTAATTTTAATTAATATGTAGTTTATGAACATAATTAAACATATGATATTACATCACTAAGTATAGTCTACATAGTATGAACATGAGTACATTTTGTGTGGTTCACTTTTTAATTTTCCTAAATTTATTTTCATAAAATTATCATATTTCCATCCATATCTTTTAAAATTCTTAGCAACATCGTTTATTATAGAAAACTTGGGGATCTCTAAATAAAGCTATATAAAATAAATAGAGCGAAATTAATTTGAAAGAAATGGAGCGGCAACAAGAGAACGAAACAGCTTCGCTATACAACTTTGACATTAAAGTCCTATCAATAAAAATTTAAAAGAAAGTAAAAGTTATAATTTTATACTACAATTAGACTTGCGCTGCAATCAGAGCATATAAGCACCGCTGTATGTTGACACACATTTTTAATAGTACCCCGTTTATATAAATGACAAATGATAGCTAGAATAAAATCAGCTTAATAAAACGGCTCGAGTCGTTTTTTTCATCTCCTGCAATTTAGAAGATTGTACGTTTTATAGTATGATAGTTAGTAATCGTTTTTCATTCATTTTTTTGTATACAGCCAGTCATGAAGTAACTAAAAGAACAAAAAAACCTCTACTTTTGTTTGTCAAAACCGAATATTTACGAAGTGGTTTCTTCTATATATTTTTTTTTAAGAATATTATCCAATACAAAATATGATACGAATTAATGTTTATCCTTCTATTGATGACCACAAATTCTTTTAATATACTCAATTGAACCAATATATGAACTAACCAACAAGCCTGAGGAAGAAATCTTCATCATATTATGACTATTTTTTAAGATCATTATTTTCATTTTTGCAAAGTCATTACATTCATTTTAATTATGAAGTTGCTATATTAATTGAATATAATCACTATGACTATTAAAACCTCTGTGACTATTCTCAAATATACATGTTACATTAAATCTCTTTTATTTCCAGGAACTCTGATGACGCTCGGTCTGGGAGCACTTGCGTTGCTCGCTGGCAAGGCTCTGATGACGGCAATGATGTCACTACTTCTGTCTGCCATCATCGGTATCAAGTCCCTCTCCAGTGGTCATAAATCAACGACCTACGAGATCGTATCCAAACCTATATACAGTCACTCACATTCACACTCCACAGCTCATGAAGATGTCGGTGGTTATGGACACTCAGGTTATGGAAGAAGCTTGAACCCAAGTAGACGTTAAAATTAAGATATTCTAGTTAATTTATTACGTAATTTACGACCTATTTTACGAAAACGAATCACCTACTAGCAATTATTACATAAAATAATTGTCCTCTTCATTTTCTGTGCTTTTTTTATATCATTTACGATCATCTCGCGATATTTCGTTTATATTGTAGGATGGTATGGCTTTCTTTCAATTTAAACTTTTAGACATCATTTTGTAATGATATTTACTTATTTTCTGAACTCATCATAATTCACTTACTCCATTTCTTATACTTATACATATGTATCTTTATCTTGCGTCTCTGCTCCTCTGATTTAAAAATAAAAAGTAGAGTGAAATACAAAATTACTGTTGACTTATGTACTTATTAATTAATTTTAGAGAACAAACAATGCTTCTTTCATTATAACTTATGTTTTTATACGTTATTGTACTTTCTTGTGTGTAGCATCATATTACTAATGTAATAAAAACTGCTGTAGGTGAACAAAATGAAACAAGTATAAGACAACAGTTCATAGATAATTATTGCATAGGATATAAAATGCAGTAGAGGTCTACGGTACTTACATTACCATCAAGATTTAAGTGATTATTTATTGAAACTATTTATTTTAGTTTTAAGTAGCTGCTGTACTATATTTTTTATATTTTTTTTTTCTATTATGTTATAACATATTTATTTTATAATTATTAATTATATATTTCTGTGAAATATATTTATTGTATGTATATTTTCTGAACAATGTAGATATACATTCCTATCTAAAACTATACTTCATATATAAAATAGATCATGTAACAGACTAAAAACTATAGATTATATATATTATATATACTTATATATTTTATTATTCTATTAATATTTTATCTACATCATATATTATAAATGTATATATATATATATATATATATATATATATATATATATATATCTGTAAATTGTATTAATTGATATACTTTACAATTCTTCCATATAAATCATTATTATTTATTTTTTCTCTATATAATATATTTTTGAATTATATATTTACTGATATTTACACTAGTATTATTTTTTTGCATTTAATATAACTTTTATAAGTAGGTATATTACATTTAGTATTTTATGTATTTACATATTATATGCGACAATACAAATTATATTGATTGATTACTCACTTATTGATTTATTACTTTTTTAACTAAAGCATCTATTTATTTTTATTACTTTATATTTACAAAAGTATTTTTGTTATTTATATAGAAGTATACCTAATAATGAAAATCGTAACAATGTACGTTTCCAAATAATTATAAAGGCTGATATGTGTATAATATTTTAATTAATTGTGTAAACTATATTTTGTATTTAAAAATATTTAGTATAAATTTTGCTTATATAGTATTAATGTATTATATTTATGTTATATATTTATATTTTGTATGTATTGTGATTATTATTTAATGTTATTACGTATTCGTATGTATTTTATATACAAGCGGACAAAAATAAATTATCAAATAATATATTATATGTTTTTCATTTATTTCACCTTTAAAGTTAATAACAACACAACGGTGTGTGTAACACAGTATTTATTTAAAATAACAATCTTACAGCAAAATATATTATACACTAATTAAATATTTTAAACATAAACTATGGATTCATTTTGGATAGTACCTTATTAAAAATTATCGTGTTTCACAATATTATTCACTAACTATATTATTATATACAAAATAAATCTAATATGTAGCTTGCTTTGTAATCTATAGTTATGTTGAGTTCAATACGGTAATGGTACTCATACTTACGATCATACGGGTGTTTTGGGACAAACAACCTCAATTCTAATTACATACATAAGAATATGTGGACTTTGTTATTCTTCATTGATGTTCCGCCAGCCTCTATTAACACGAGCATACATCCGTATTAAAAATAAAAATTTGGGGACAAACAATGTCATTGGCCATATTGCAGTTTTATAAAAAATATAATATACTAACAATTAAAAATAATATATTATAGGCAAGAACCCATAAGGGAAAGATGTTGTAGGTAGGTCAACATTTATTATTGTAGTACCTATTTATTTAGTAATTATAAAGCAGTGATCATCGTAACTTATTGTTCCATTAACACAACAGAGGATTGATAGATAAATGTGAATATCATATATATACACTTACTTGTACGATACACGATATCAAATAGTACTACTACTTTTTATACATGTGTATAATATAAAACTATACTTATAGGTTACCTTAGTAGATAACTATAGGTTTCAGACATATAAAATCCTAGTAATAAACTATTATAATAATAATAATAATAATCTCAGGACAATTCACACAGCGCTATCTAGACCTAAGTTAAGCTAGCTAAAGCTTGTGATATGAGTACTAGATAACTTATACATATACATATATATATTTTTTGTAAATACATACATATTATACATTGAAAACACCCAGACCGATACAAATATAAACAATCATACTCATGAATACAAATGTTTGTGCCGTGCGAGGAATCGAACCCGCGACCATTGGTCATAAAGCGGTGTGTTAGAGCGCTAGACCACCGAGGTCATCAATATACTTATGTGTAATATTAGAAAAGTAAAAATATAAACAAGCCCTGTACTGAACATAGTATAGTCCCTAGTATAATATTGTTAGTGTTTTGTTATTTTATGCTAATGTGTATGCTGAAATATGATAAAAAATATGAGTATAAAGAAGTATATCAAACCTGGAAATTAATATCTATTGTATTTTAAATAAAAAAAACTATTAATGCCTAAATAAACTTAAAAAATAAATATTACTGCTGCTTAGATATAGATTAAATATAAAATTGATTAATAATGTCACTCTGTTCACACATTTCTATAAATTTATGAGGTATTGGATTTAGTAATTATGTAATACTAAATAACGTATATATATATATATTGTAAAGGCTGTTGATTACCAAAATAAATAAATAAAATACAATAATATTAAACTAACCGTAGAGAACTCCTTGATAGGTTTTATACTATTTTTTAATTTTATTAATAATATTATTATAGTTTTAATTATAGTTTTTTGACATATTCTTTTTGTTATTTACTATTATATTTTATCGTCGCATTTTATTTTATCACCGGATTTTCCTTACTAAAACCCTCAGCACGTCTCACTCATCAGACACATTAGATATTCAGCTTCATTAACTCTAATATACATACCTACTTCGACTATAAACGCACTAAATAACACAAAATTACATTATAAATTAATGATGCGCACAAAAAAGAAATAGTTTACAAAATAAGTAGATAGTTACAATATTATAATTTCTAGTCAATAAGGATCAAGATCCCAAAATCTAAGTTTAATACATAATGAACAAAAAAAGGATTAAATATTTTTAAAAATCCAGATAAATTTTAATCCATTAAATAAATTCATTCATACATGCAAGACTTACATATCATTCTAGAATAATATTGAAAAATGTTTCTCTAGGTGGTTTCTTATGTCTACAATATGATAATGTTGCTAGTACGGCATCTAAAGAACGACTAACACCGAAAGTGAATCTCCATTGTCTGTTCTAATAAAAAAAGAAGTGTAATCTCAAGCTTTCTTTCTCTGATTGGTCCGATAGTCATATAATACTTTTAATCTTTTTTCTTTTACCTTTCTAGGGGTCTATAGTTAAATACTAAAACTTCGTTCGGACTTCGTTGCTGAAAGAGCAATTATAATTAAAGTTAGATTATTAGAACAAGGATGCTAAATAAAATAATATAACAGATTACTTAATTTAATGTCCTTAGGGAACAGAAGAGCAAGATTTTACGGTTAATGTTATAACAAATAAAATTATATATTAAAAACGCAAATATATAATATTACAAAGAAATATATAAAGGCCCTAAGGTGTTCGTTACATTTATAAATAGGTACATTATTTGATAGAATAAAATAATACTGCGAAAACAATCGTTTTCATCCTAGATAGGTATACAATAATAAACTATAAAAGAAGTAACTGGAGAAACATAAAGCAGTGCAAGAAACAAGACGAAATACAACGTCGTACCTATAAAAGTATTTATGTAGGCTGAATACTATATAACAGTGTACAAAAAGTATATATTATGAAGTTTTGAATTTCTAGTTGAAATATATTGCAATTTTAATTTTTGTTTCAGCTCATACAACTTATATCTCATACTTTTCCCAGCTACTGTCAAATAGTTCATACACAATCGCAAAGTAGCATAATAGATAAATAAAAGTCAAAGGCGCTTGTCATAGAACTAAAGATTAACATAAAATTCTATAAGGTTCTTAATAAAATTATGATTTTATATCATTCCTAAATATTGTATTACTATTTACCAAGTACTTTACAGGTGTTTGCTTTTGTAGCTGACATCAAAGAATTGTTAAAAGAGAGGACCGAATTTTATTAGTATTAGTATGTAATATTATATTATCTGTGGTATTAGTAATACTGGATGCAAATTCTGGATAAAACTTTAAATGCATATATTAAATACACCTTTACGACTATTATACTAATCGGAGTAGTCAGAGGCATTTCGCTCAGGATATTTCAATCAAACATGACAGCTAGAGAATATAAACTAACACTCAGATTTAGTATCTATGTTGTTAGTATTTTCACTTGTAGAAATATGAAATTCTACAAAGATTTTTCCAAAGAAAAAATGTAATATAATAAAATATGTAATATACTTATTACAACTAACACAAATTTTGTTTTATTAACTATATATTTTAATACCTTAAAAATATATGTTTATTATGAATGATTATGTATTACGGAACCTTGATAGTAGAAACAAATAATACTAAATCTTTCTTCAGGTAAAATAGTAAGTGAAAGTACGTAATACGTACTTTTACCAGAATAAGCATTTTGTCGATTATTTCCTCATGAAAAATAAAATGCCTAGTCACCAAATTGAGTCATTATTTCGCGAGATACAAACTACCGCTGAATTATATAGTTCATACTACAATATAATTTATACCATGCATTAATAAATATATACATTACAATACTTACAAATATCATATACGAGTATATAGATAATATTTTAAATACAATAAAACTAATGTATTTAGAGTTATTGCTTTTAGTCCTTATAGAAAAAATCTATTAGCTTTTAGTAAAAAAAACGAATTCATTAATAGAAGATTCTATTTGGAACACAGAAAACAATAGAGTCGAATTTAGAATCCTTTATTTTAAAGTAGGTTGATTGCTTACTTCTTACCTTGATCACGAGAAACCGTTGCATTTACACCTTTTGTCTCGACCAGTGTCTTCATGCATGCATACCCTATGTAATAATGGCATTTGACAGAAACTTTTACTCACCTACCAAGTGACTGCTGTAATCATTGCTGCTTGTACTCCTTTCCCTAAAATAGTTTAACCATGGTAAACCCGTAACTTTATCCAAATATCCGACTAACTTAATTGACCCGCATAAAAAGCAATCTATATACCTGTAGCAAATTTCAATATGATTGGTTGAGTAGTCATAATGTGTAAATGTAATAAATAGATTTTCTTATTTATAATATTTTATAAGATACTACTATTTTAAAATGTATTAAATCCTGAGAAACCAATTTAAAGCAAATTTATAAATCAAAATAAGAACAAATTTTTGATTAATATAACCAAAATAAGAACAATATTTCCACTTTAGATGGTTGAAAAATTTGAAATTATAAGTCCATTTAAAACTTTGTTTGGAGAACTATTGAGCAGTATTCATATTCAATTAAATAAGTTCTTACCAACCAAACCCAATTAAGTTCCGAGCAGAACTATCGAAACTTGATATTTATTAAATAATAGGTAATAGTCACTGATGTCTATATGACTTCTCTAGTACATGTATATACAGATTTATTTCTTCTAAAACATAAACGCAGTTTTATTAACTTTTTATTATCTCAGATAAATAAACAAATAAAAAGAAAGCCAAAGGATCCGATTATAATACAGCTCCATTACTTATTTTGTATATCAAAAACACAAGCATTTTTTACATGACCGGTTTTTCTAGCAGTACTCATAATCAAAGGTGAGTAATAACCGTAAGTTTTAAATCAAAAGTTTTTGCCGTGCACCAATAGATTAGTTTACAAAATTAGAAATTAGAATTTCTCTTTAGGTGACTATAAACATTGTCATATAATCCATCGCTCTGTGGTTACAATAAATCAATAAAACCTCGGATAATCTCCAAGACAGTAAAAAAAGACTCAAGACCACCTTACACTTTTCCACTTGTTTACTGTTCGAAAGCGACTCGGTTTCGCCGCTAACAATGGTACCAAAACTTATTTGTTCGTTTTACCATTTCTCGGTCTATCATGGTCTTTTTTTAGTTTTCTTATGAGTATAAATAAATTGCGTGGTCGAAATCTAAACCAGTGCAGTTGAGCCAACGAAATGTTTACCACCCAATAGACAAATCGGATTTTGTGCAGTGCAATTGTGACAAAATGTTTAAGAAACGTGTTATTGCTGTTATATGCATAGTGATATTGTGTTACACGGACGCCTGTAAAGGACTTATTGAAGATGGGAATCAACCAAACACAGTTGTTCCCGCAAAAGAAGGCAAAACTGTCGCCAATAATAGTGAAAGAACCGGCAGATTCCTCCACAAGGACTGTAGTAGTATTTTAAGTGCTAAGTGCTTGAAAATTCACGTGCTATCCTTCCTGGAGGATTTAAGTTCTCGCGATGAACTAAATCTGTTACCCGGACTGAGTATTGTCAAGGAAAATCAGACATCAAGTAGTCCAAGTCCTGAAGAAATAGCTGCAGAGTTATCTCGACAGTTTCCTGGAAAGCCAGAAGAGAAACTCAATAGGTATCTTCTCTATCGTCTGCAAGATTATTTGGATGGACATTCGTTGAGATACAAACTGCTCGATCCTCAGACATCTAAGGAAGCTATGAATATGGCGAAAGGAGATAGGGAATCCATGGGAAGGAAGTCAGGAGGCGGTGGTGGTCTTGGTGGAGGAGGCAAAGGTGGAGGTGGAGCTTTACTCGCCGCCGCCTTGATGATGAAAGGTAAATAATTGTACCCAAATTTTGTGTCATTCGTAATAGTGATGACAAACAGTTATAATTCGTTGTTATTTGATGGCACAGTTTCGATTTAAACAGTAGCATTTGACAATTAAATAAAAAAGGATATTATAGTATAAAACCTTAAATGACATTAAAATTTACCTTGGTTGGTCACATAATACCTTGGTCCTATAATAAGGCAATAAAGACTGTTGTAAAATATACTGTTGTAAAACTTAGGATAATTTATTTTGTCAACAGAATTAGAATGTTCTAAATCTCTGTAATATTAATTATTTCATTAATTACTTTTAAATAGTTTAATAAACTGCTCAGCATAGAGTTACTATATTAATATTTTTACCAAAACCAAAGTAGCACGTACACATGCATTGTGATGCATTTTGAACAATTTATATTAAAAATTATTCCAGGAGCATTGAATATTTTAATTCTCTTTACATCCATTCAAAAATAAGACTACAATATTAAATATTATATTAACACTAGCTGACCGGCAAACGTTGTTTTGCCTTAAAATAAAAATAAAAAATTTAGGGGTGGACTACCCCTAACATTTAGGGGGATGAAAAATAGATGTTGGCCGATTCTCAGACCTCTCAATACGCTCACAAAATTTCATGAGAATCGGTCAAGCCGTTTCGGAGGAGTATGGGAACGAAAACTGTGACACGAGAATTTTATGTATAAGATAAAATTCTGCTCTTTAACAATAATAAAGTGGTAATATTCAATGTTTTCCTGTTATTAATAGTAGATTTGTTTTAGGTGCCATGGCTGCAGCTGCAATGGGAGCTTTGGCATTATTAGCTGGCAAAGCTTTAATGACTGCCTTGATGTCACTCCTGCTGTCTGCACTGGTCGGCCTTAAAGGTCACGGTGGCCATAAATCAACCACATATGAAATCATCACCAAACCTGAGGTCTCCCATCATCATTCTCACAGTCACGAGGAACACCACGAACACGAACATGGGCACCATGGAGGATACAGAAGAGCCTATGATGTAAACTACAATACCTATATGCCTTACGATACAACCAGTACTAATAGTTAATTTAGTTGTATAATATGACTGTATATTTATTGAAATACTTTAAGTAATTTATTACATATTTATTGTGATTTTATTAGGATCACCTGTAATCATTAGTTTGCTTTTGTAAACTTTATGAAAACATAATAATTTTATCAGTTAGTTCTTACATTGGAAGTGGATCAATTTTTGGGAGATTTCTGTCTTGTTTGTTTTGTTCTTCTCAATCTGATGTAATGACGAATAATTATATAAGGACCCCATCGAGTCTTGGCTTATTTTAATTTATTTTTAGTCCTTAATTATTGTTATAGCTTTTTCTATTTATTTATTGCTGACTGGTAGATGTGTTAATCTCTTTTCCTTTATTAAATAACATATAATATGATTAATTTAATCCTTGGTTTCATATTTATATTGTATTATATTTATATCTTGTCATAGCATTGTTACTAGTATAATTCACGCTTTATATAATATTTTTTATATGATTTCTTATTTCTATTACTATTTTTATATGTATTTATTATATTTTATTTATCTATCTTATGTCTTCATGTGTACTTAAAAATGTCTGCAATTGCTGTGTATCTATAGATCTTTTATAATATTTTTGTTTTTCTATATATTCTTTTATAACAATTATTTAAAATATTTCATGCGGTATGTATAACTGTGATATTCTTTAAGCCTCTTAATACTACACCAAATATTTGTATTACTTTGTACTCTTACAATTTATTTCCTTAGTATAATATATTTATTCGCGAACAATGAAGATTCTAACAGTATTATAGTATTTTATTGAGACCCCTAATAGTTTTATGATAAATATATTTATTTTTATCTACTATGTTTACTTTTCTCCTCTTATTCATATGTACTTGAAAAAAAGACTAATAACTAAACTAAAGTTAAATTTCTATGGACAAAATGTAAACTATTTTCAATAAGTAGTCTATAGAAATTTTATAGACATATTTCCATCTGAAAAATTATAAAAGATATAGTATTTTTATTTGTTATCATATTTTAAATTACAAGTGTAATGAAGTGTAATTAAAATAATAATAACAATATAAGTAAAATATTGGAAATAATATTTATAGTACCTACTTACAGAAATTATCTATAAAATATGTATGTAATAGTATTGTCATCTTCATTCATATTTATTGCATTAATTTCCTACTTTTTTATTGATGTTTTTGGGCTATTGTCAGGTGCTAAGGCATGTAACACTGCGAAGTGCAAAGATCTATTGTGCTCGCCCTTTTTTAAAGTTCGCTCCCTAGATCCGTCACGGCCAGAATTGAAGGATATTTTAGGAACATTCTTAAGTTTGTTTTGTTAACGTTATCAAAAGACTTATAACAAATTTCTATACTAATTATAGTCGTTTTAATAATTGTGAATGACGCTGCTTATAAGTATTATTGCTAGTTATTTTAATTTTTTTATTACAAATCCTTTGTTAATTGGGCATTAAATAATATAATGATTTGTACAATATATGTAGCACTATTACTATACTTAGTAAGTTTCTCATAATTTCTACTTTCATCGTTACTTCAACAGAAGCGTCCTTTGTATCTGCAATTTATTAACCGCAACAACTTACTGTTTACTTACTTTAAACTATAAAATTATACGTTTTCACCCCTCGCTGAGACTCCTAACCTTGAATCCTACAAAACAAAAGATAATAAATAACCTTCACCTAGTGCTTGATTTTTCATTTTATTTCCTTAACTTATTGTTACATGTCTTCAATATGGTTTTAGATAAATTTATTGTTGCACTCTTACTTATAGTATTTGTCGATTCATTAATTATTGCTAAAGAAAGTAATCAATTATTGGAATCAAAAACAGAAGACCTTAATACAACAGACGTGCAAAATGATAGTAATCTCTCCGATATATTTGATGGCGTATACACGGAATGTTTTCTACACTTCTCATATATCTGTTTACAAAGAAAAACACTGTGTTACTTGAAAGAACTAAACAAATTGAGTGAAGTGCCAGTATTAGGTGAATATGTAAAATTTGGTAAGTTAATATCAATAGAGGTTTTAAAAATTATTTCATCAACTACTGATTACAAACTTATCGATTATAAATCTATTAACTCATCAAAGACATAACTATTAAATATATAGTAAGAAACTAATTCGTTATTTTATAATTCTAAAACAACGAACTCGTTCTCATCTCTACTCTTCTGCTTGCTGGGCCCAACAGGGTACATAATTCATCTGCTGAATGCGAACTTAAGTACCTACTGTAAAATTATGGAATGCAATGCACAAATAAATGAAAATATTATTATTATTGAGGACAACATTGTTTGCTTTTAGTAAAAATTACTGGAAATGAAAGCAGCTCAAGTCAATCCTCGGAATTCTTTGAAGATGAAAATTCTGAGCAGTTGTCCTTCATGATAGACGAAGCAGTGAATCAGTTCTTTAACAGCCATATTATGAAGTTCAATGCAATAAGTAGAAATCTATCATTTTCAAATACAGGTAAATATGATTTCAATAATTATAATTACTGTATGGACATAATGAACTTTAGACTGAATAATAATGATAATGAACTGAAGGAATAATAATGAAATAAATTAATGTTACAGAAGAATTTGTAGGCAGAAAGAAGAGAAAAGGTGGCCAGGGCGACGGTGGCGGAGGGCACGAAGAGTTCTTTAAGAAGAAAATGATGATGATGGGAATGATGTGTATGAAGATGAAATTTATGATGGTAACCTATTTTTTCTATTCCGTTAAATAAAAAAGTATTCGACATTTATAACTTATCTTATTATGTGGTTGTTATGAAACACGATATAATGTACAAGTATATTTGCCGTTTTCAGATGATGCCCGCAATGATGGGGATGATGGGAATGATGTCATTTAAAGGAATGATGTTCAGTATGATGTCGTTTATGTTGTCAAAAGTAAGTTATATTTTTGTAAATACATAGAACTCTAAATAAATTAAAGGAAGTGATATCTTTTTATTTAAAAAAAATATTATAATATCAGATGATAACTTATAGAATTAAAAAAATTATCAATCGTAATATGTAATAATATATGTAGATACAAGATTACTACCTCTTGTTTAATGTTACATTCCCCTTTAAATAACACTGTTTTTAGATGATGCTTTTAATGAAACTTTTGGAGAAGAAAGGCGGATTTGGGGGTGGCGGAGGTGCTGATGGTGTAAGTATAAATTAGTGTAACACATATATTCCCAACAAAATCTATGTATTAAGACTTTGTAAAAAATAATATTTTGCTTTGAACAACAATTAGGTTAAGGTGCAAAGTGCCTGTCAAATAATTATGAGCAATTTTCATTTTCTGCACAAAAGTGTATCGAAGAATACCTCTGTCTGACTGGTATGACCTGTTGTCAAATCTGTCAAATCTCCAATACCTATAGTGCTATTGATGTATTAAAATTGTGAATAAATATGTTCTAAAATATATAGATACATTTATACTACTATAATACCAATCAGTACGCATATAATTAATGATAATGAAATTCATAATTGAATGACTTCACAGTTTTATTAACGTCTGATACCAAACTTTGATTAACAAATTTCAAGAATTGATAAAGTCTCATTTTATCCTCAGGGTTGGGCCGCCAGTGGCGGAGGCGGCGGTGCCTGGATGCCAGCAGGTATTATACCAATATAACTGAATACATATACTAATTTTGATACAAAATATATAAAAAACCATCGTTTAAATCCAGGTCAAGATTACGGAGGTGGCGGCGGTGGCTACGATGCAAACGGACAATGGCAAAGTCGATCAATATTAGAAATGGAAGATTCAAATATTGGAAAGAAACCTGTAATATCCTACGTAGTGCCTAATATCAATTATAATAATAAACCAATTCTTGCTCTTAATAAATATGAAAGTATAAAGAATACTGATAATTATACAGATAAAGTTAAATCAAGAAAGAAAAGAGGTATAATAGATGTCTTACAGAACACTTATTTATATTGGATTAATAGTATACTGGGAAGTGGTATTAAGAGAAGATTAAATTATCCTAGATACAAACTAATCAATGGTGTAAAATATGTATATTATCCGAATAAAACGGGTCATAAATTGTTAACACAATTTGTGCCTAGTAATAATAATTATATTAAAAATAATGAAGAATTCAAACCTATAATAATAGCAGATGATTTTAATAAGGGAGAATCAATTGAAGGTGCTGTTGTAAGCAGGATGAATAGAAAGAAATTTAACAAAATGAAAGATACATTAAATGACACGATAGAGGATAATCCGTGGCAATGACTATATTATTTAGTTAAATTCTATGTTTTGGAGAACATAGTAGCCCCAGACTTTAGATCATTTTTGTTTTTTTAGGGAAAGTGAATTGTTATTAATAAGAGTTTTAAGAATGTCTGTGTTAGAAATTGTTCTATATGTAATTTATTGCGTAAGTAATATAAGTGTTAGCCAAATACTTAATAAATTAACGACTATAAAAATGTATGTATCAGATGATGAATGTATTAAATGAATATTAATGATTAAACAAATATATATTTTAACAATAAAATGTATTTTTTTATGATATGGTAATAATTAACTTTACGTTTAAGAGAGCTGGCACCGCCATTACAAAAATTTTATCTATGTAACAAAATTATATGCTTTAAAAGGTTTGCACAGATTCACACAAAAAATGTTTTGTCTTAATAGAAGCTCGCTTGCATATGGCAAACCTTCAAATGGAGTCTATGCAAAAAAATACTTGTAAATATGCTGTGTTGAAATAAAAATAATTAACACATGCGGATGCTTAAAGCATTTAGGTATTTATAATTCAATGTAAAAAAGAAAAGAAAAATTAATTCGAAAATACAGGTGGAATTTTTAAAAGAAAGAAAATATGTGTATATCTTTGTTCTATCTCAAGTAACCAAGTACCTATTATTCATTTTGACACGTTTACATATTTGCAAGCTGATCAGGGTTGGTCGCACAAAAATATTTTTTTTAATATATTGAACACTGGCAAAAAAGCATCAACCAAAGAAGTATTTAAATTAAAAAAGAACATAGTCCTAAATTTTATACACTGAATTTTATTTATTATGCTGTACCTGTTATTATACATAATATGTACAACAACTAAATTGTAGTCTAATATCTTCATTAATTAATTTACAATACAAAATTAACAAGTAAAATACAGGTGCACCATGGTTGGAATGTCCGCAACGACAGGCCGCCAAAATAGCTGTCAAACGTAAAATGTCAAAATGTCATTATCAATTAACAATTGCCAGCATTGTCTGTTGATCTGTTGTGTCTATTTTATACATATTGTAATTAACTGTTTAGTGCACAAAGTATTTACTGCATATATCACCCACGACGAAAACAATGGAGTTTAAAAATATTTACATAAAGTAAGTACGTACCTACTTGACTTTTAAAGAAGTTTTAATATTATTTTGTGTGAATGTTCTGTCTTGTTATTATAATTTAAATGCATTATATAATGTATACCTATAATTATTGGTGTTTGATATTTAGGACGGGAGGAACTCTTCGGTCAAAAACCTAGGAACCCGAAAGCCGGTAAATGCTCTGGCGAAGTGCTCCAGAACCGAATGAATATTGTTAATCCTTATTCCATTACGTTTGTTGATTTTAATACAATTTACTTGTCTATTCTCTTACTTGTCTGGCATATATGTATATAATACGTATATACTGCTAGAAATTTTATGTATGTTACTTTAAAAATGTAAAAAAAATATGAATATTTATATTCATACAATTCTAACTCTAATTTAGTATATAGCGCCATCTATTGTCGTGAGACAGAATTAGTTTCATATTTAAGTAGAATTGCTTTTGCTTTATAGCACTATGAACTCCAGTAGGGACGCTTATTTATATGTTATATAATGTTTACCTCTAAGACCAGTAGATGGCGCTGTATAGTAATTCGAATTTTTAGTAAAGTATTTGTTAAACACTTATGCTTCTTAACAATAAGCATTAACTTATCATTTTTTTGTATTCAATTTGAAATGTATACAGGTATAATATAATAATATTGATATTTATAAATTGTACATACTACTTGTATAGGGTAATAGAATATTTTAGACATATTAATCATATCCGATATGGTCTAGTGGCTAGGATACCTGGCTCTCACCCAGGAGGCTCGGGTTCGATTCCCGGTATCGGAATTTCTTTTTTTTCCTTTACTTATTGGAAATCAGTCTAAATGAGAATCCGTTATTTAATATGGTTTGCAGAAACACCAAGTGTCGTGACTGATCTTTTTATTTTAAATACATTATTAAACTCGCTACTATAAATTTTTTTAGATTTTAGAAAAACTGGTTCTATGGATTCTATAATTTCTATTATGCACCATTGGCCTCGGAGGGTCTTGCGGTTTAGCACATCACTTTACTTACTATGGTCACGGGTTCGATTCCTCGCACGGCACAAACATTTGTATTCATGAGTATGATTTTCTGTCTGGGTGTTTTGTATGTACATATATTATGTATATTTTAAAAAAAATATCTAAGTATTTATATCAGTTATCTAATACCCACAACAGAAGCTCTGATTACCGTGGGACTAGATGGCGCGGGATTAATTCTCCAGGGTTATGTATTTATTTAAGTTTTTTTGCAATTGGCACGCTCGATATGATCGACCCCCATTTGGAAACCGTATATTTTTTGCGGTTCTAGTTGTTACTTTTGTATCTTGTATTTAAAAAAATGCATAAATATAAATTTATGAATTTATTGATAATTTGCATATTCATTATCAAACTAAATACAAGCTGCTACCAAACATCAAGTAAGTAGGTCAGTAATTAATTTTATTCATCTAATATTCGTAGATATAGGTATAGTGGAATTATTCAATTGAACAAATTCCCAGTGGAATCGACAGGTATTATATTGATTGTTAGTAATGTAGACTGATGATTTTATTGCTACCAATGTACCATGTCAGGTTGACCTCCATGCGATTCACCCTGGAAATCATCGTGATAAAACAATAGTTATTAATTATAGAGTCTGCATTCCGAATGCGCGTAAGAATAAAAAATGTGATTATTCAAAAGTACATTAAGTTTATTTGAATAAAAATTATTTGTATTTCTATTTCTATCCATAAATATCTTGGTGAATTTGACACGGTGGGCTAACTGAGCTGATGCTCATCTCATCATCCAGTGGTACCCCGCCAGCGTAAGCCGTTAGCATAGGCGGGTGCACCATTCCATTATCATCCATAAAAAAATAGAATGGTGCGTTCATTCGTCAAGTTAGTCAGCTTATCGTGCTTAATTTCTATTAAATCCGACAATGTACTTCATCATCATCGTAGAATGGTGCCCCGTCAACGTATACCGCTAACGCATAGCCATAGCATAGGGGGGAAGGTGATTGTTAACAATGGGAACTAGTAACTCCCATTGCTAGCCAGGTACCATGTTACGTTGACCTCCACGCGGTTCCCCTTGAAAACCACCGTGACAAATTCTTGGAGAATTTGTCACGATGGGCGGATAACTGACCTGACCTCATGTTCATCTGATCTTCCTCCACGGGTGTCCCGCCAGCGTAAACCGTAAGCGCAGGCGGGTGCATCATTCCATTATCATACATAAAAAAGTCATACCGCTAACGCATCATCACCCAAAAAAAAAACTAATATGGTATTGGAAAATACTGAATTTCTTGATAAGAGCGGTGTGAATAGCAGTCGGTAACATATTCATTTGGCTTTTAAGATGACCGACACCCAAAGAAGGTTGTGCTGTCACTTTCGAAAGCAAAGGACGAGTTGCACTTTAACAGTTTAACTTAATCTATAGTTAATAAGAAGTTACCACGTGAAGAGTATGGTTGTGAGCTTATATGATTCCATGTGAAAGTGATGTACAATCTTAGGCTAGTAACATCATAGTAATAGGTATTGTCAATTGGGTGCCAAAGTCTGTAGAGTAAATTAAATTTTACCACAATTTACTTGGATACATACTCAAATTCTGCTATAATAGTTTTAAAGATCCATGACTGGGTTTCGTAACGCGAAATAGCTTTTTTTATGTCGCCTAAGTACATGAATAGTACTTGGTACTATTCAGGATCAGGATTTATTCTTCCTTGGTTGGCCAAGGAAGAATAAATCCTCATATGTATGTATGACGACCTTGAAATGTTTCAGACGTTATCAAACTAAGGTACCATGCCTCTGTACTCTAAAGCATAACTTACAAAGCATGCTACTTGGCGACGCAATATGCTGTCGTCGCATTCTGTAGCGGTCACAAAATGTCGTCAAAATATTTTAAGCAATCTGGATAGAGAATCCCATACGCATCATACTCCGAACAGTTTTCATACAATTGTTTGCATATATGTATAGTGGTTTATATTTTCACTAATATAAATAATTATTGTAACTGGCTAATAAGAAATGTGTTTTTTATATCTAAATTTGTATTTTGAAATTTATAGTTCCTTTTTAGATTCTTTTTGATAGTTCAATTAATTCTTTCTTTCTGTTCCTAATATGTCAGTCTATTATTAATATATTTTCTCCATTTTACAAAGTCTTTTTTCTTATTACTACAACAATAATGTTTCAAGAAACAATGGTAATTTTATATTATTATTAACAATCTTCTCCAGTTTTCCAATTCAGCAACCCTATATTTATACCTATATATATATAAATTACTGTAACACTGATGCACATATAAAATTAAAGAAATATGTACATTATCCTATTTCAATAAATAACTATAAAATGCACCGCTTTAATTATAATTAACGAAGGGTTAGTGATTGTTTAAAGCTATGGTAGACACGGCTCTATGTTTGCGGTCAAAGACCCAGATCTTCACCTTGCTCTTGAACGCGCTTTGGCAGTTTTTAAAGGCGGGCAAGTTGATATATAGATGTATCGATATAATTAAAAAAAATACAGAAAATAATAAGACGTAAGATAAAAATATATAAAAGCTAAAGAAAAAAAAGTCCTATACCTACAATTATGATATGTTAATTATTATGATAATTATGATTTAAAATGACCGACAATCAATTTTTTTAACATCTCAGATTAATTGACAACTGTTGTTGCCGAAGTAGGAAAAAATGTATACGTAAAAAATATGCTGTGCAATATTTTTATGTAAGTATTTATATATTTTCCTTATACTGTTATCTTTTTTTTAATCAGTGCTATTATGTTCAATATCTACTCAGTATCCAATTATTAATATTACAATTTTTATTTATTTTTATTAACAAATATATTTCCGTACTTATGTCTATTCACACTACATATATACATACTAACATATGAATTATAATTATTTTTATTTTAAAATAAAATAAAAAAATACACATTTTAATCTTCACCTGAACTTATCGATATCGATAAATCCGCAAATGTCCACCGTAACGAAGTGCGATAGAGAGGTCAGCACTCCGTCCCGCTCACCTGGCTCCTCACTAGAGATAATTCAGTGAGTTAGTGTTGTTCTCTCGTGTTGCATGTATACCGATTCATTTGGTGACCTTAAAATTCACGTAAACAAATAGTTTGTGAATGTGTTACTCTTTCCGTGGCCGGATATGGAATGACTGAAATTGAGGTAACTTAATTTTTTTATCAATCAAATTGTCTATACTTATAATATTTTAATTAAGAAAGTCCATTCGATTTCGGTGGAAGATTTTGTAATGTTTTGTTTTTTTTTAATTCTAACCAATATTGTAAATGTGAAAGTGGATATTGTTTGTTTTACTGTGTTATTTTGCATATACTTGTAGTCCATTTGGAAAGTAGAAAGACTACTTTTTATCCCGGCAATCCTGAAGTAACAGACGAAGTCCCAGGCACAAGCTACTAATTTTATGTTTTACGTATGTATATACTTAAAACTCTCGTCACAATATTACCATATTCCTCCGAAACGGCTTGACCGATTTTTATGAAATTTTATATGCATATTCAGTAGGTCTGAGAATCGCGACTATCTATTTCTCATACCATTAAGTGATAAGGAGAGTCCACCTCTAACATGTTTTTTTTTTGATAACATTTTTATTTATTAAGTATTTTTTTACCCTTCTACTATCAACCCTTATTCTTGAATAGCAATTTTAATTTATATGACAAAACAACATTTGCGGGGTAAGTATTTTTTTATATATGAATGCGAAAGGACGTTTCTGTGTTCTTTTTAATTTAGTGACTACCTTTGGTTTGGGAATGGTGTAGGCTATATGCTACTTTTCATCCTGGTCAATAATGGTCACACTACGGAAATCGCGTAAGAAGCTGGTTTCATCATAAATTAGAAAGTGACAAGTTATGAAAGTTTAATAAAGCAATATATAGGTGTGTAGTAATTGAAGTATTTAGATCTGACACTCGAGTCTCTGCCCATATCATTAGGTATAAGACTTGATGATACCAATAATAATAGAAACTTGAAACGCTATTGAAGTAAATAAAGTTGATTAAAATGGCTAAATATCAACTTCTATTTATTTGTCTACATACAAATGTACAAGTAGAAAAGCAGTTTCTGTAGATAATGATCGATCTCCTGTCCCATAACAACGGGCATCGAATAACGTACGAGTTTAGTTTCGCCTCTTAGATAATGTCCTTAAACTCGTATAAAGTAATATCCTTCAAAAAAGGAGTTATCTTCATACGCTCTAAAACTTCTTCCGTAGGCTAGGAGTGCCCTCTGCACTACCTCCCATCTGAAATCGGTAAAAGATAGCTGCGGCCAAGATTATTAGAATAAAATTCAGCATTTAACTAGATAAGTAAGTATTTTTATCATATATATAAATTAACAATTCTTAACAGAAGTCTCCACATGAATTACGAATACCTGAGAGGTACCATCCTGCATAGGAGATACCATCAGCATTACTATGATTCTGTGATATACTACTTCTGTGGTATTTCTCTTCATGTATAGGAAATAATTACTGCTATAGACGGAAACCAGTACCTATAGGTTCTGCCAACATAGTCCTAAGTAATAGCAATGTATTAGAGATACCATCGGCGTTACCATGATTCTATTATATACGTATTTTTTTTCATGTATAGACAATGATTACTGCTATAGACGGAAACCACCAGTTTTTGCAATTTCTTTTTATCCTATGATGATGGTGATAAGCACACTCCCCATCTGAAGGTAAACGGTTACCGTAGCCGGATGCTTGGAACAACAGGGGTGTCACGACACTGTTACATAAAGAAAATACACCGTTAATTCCATACATAAACTTGACACTTTTTCTTATAACTTATTTAAAAAAAACTATGGTGCTCGACCTTTTTATACTTCTGATAATTAAGGTGACTAGTGGGTACTGCCAAACTGGCTAAAAACGTGATCGTATATCTATTAGCTCAATGATGAGGCCACGGAAATTATGATTTTTTTCGTAGAATGATATTCAAACTACCATTGGTAGCAATAGGGTTAATAATCCCTTTTACTAGCAAATCCTCCACTACCCGAAGGTCGTCTGCGTGAGTACATCTGTCACACTTATTTCAGCCACCAAGCAAGTTGCTTTATAATCTTTGTCTTATACGTCTGAAGGATGACATATAGCAGTGAAATTACAATATGCATTTGCGTATGTATTGTATTGTTATATTGTTATTGTATTGTATTATTAACGTATCTAGTCCTTAATCCACAGGAATAGTAAATGTATGAGGATCTTCGCATAACGACCGAACCGTGGTGCTGTATATATCAGCTTGTATATCACTCCAATTATAAAAAAGGGTATCTCAAGATTATTTCCTATAATTGATGGGCTTGATCAAAACAAAAATATTTCTATTCATATAGATTTATTTAAATACACTTTAATAAGTGAAATCTACAGTCAGTTCATAGTTATATACATAATTTTAAACTTACCTATTAATGCTATATATTTTGAACTTAGTATACTGTACTTCTCTATGATGTCTTGTGTACATCTTTGGAAGCCTTTATTCCTCGGGTCGGACAATGAATAGACGATATACTTCGTTCAGCGATCTATAAACAATGAATACCATATGATTAATGAAATTAGGCTAAACAGGTTATAAACACTATATCGCATTTTTTACAAATTAAAACGGTTCTGCTATCAAAAACGTGTACAGTAGCATGGTTATTATAAAGGACAGTGATGTTAATGGCAATTGTCATGCGTGACCACTTCAATATTCTCTTTAAAAAAAACTACAGGTAAAGTCTCACCTATACTTTCAAATTGGAAATTGTACTTATCTAAAACTATATTTATGAGTAGTAGGTAATATATACCTACTACTCATAAACTTTTTGTATCATACAACTCTCATATTCAGTACAGACATAAATATTAAATGTTAATGGTAGTAGTACATAAGCGTATACGGTAGTAAACAGAAATTATTCAATACCTTTTTCATTTATCCGAAAGATTATTCTTCTATAACTAAAATCTGAATTAGATTTTTATTTATGAGTTCATTAAATTGTCATTACCATCATGAAAACTTAAAGATTACAATATCTTGTTAACTTTGTGCTTTGGTGTTGTAAATAAAGCATGGGTATGCTCTACGGTGAGGTGTAGGCCTTTGCCCAGCTGTGGGCCATAAATTAACCTTAAAAAAGATTGCCCTTACCTACATAAAATAAATATATCACATAAACACCTCAGATTAAACGAGTTTCCAATACATAATTTTTCAACCTTAATCTTCGAGAAGCCAACAATTTAAGTCATGATCTTCGAAACTTGAGTCCCATAATAAATGGAATCTTCATTTCGTATATCAGAAACTTGTTTGGTGTTGTATATCGTACTTTATATTAACTTAATACCCAATAAAAGTGAAATATTTAATATATTCGTTACATTAGAATACATATCCGGTTTTAATATAGAGTTAGTCATTTTTAACGGAAAAGATAACTTGAATTTTCCACGTTCAGTAAAAGCTTAATTTCTCCAACATCCCATTATGCGAGAACATCTGAACATCTCACCACAAGCTATGGTCAACCGAAAGTATATTATGCTCATCAATTATCATACTATCGTGCAACATGTGATTTTCCACGGCTCGTATAATTAGATCGTGCGATTAATTAATCAAATAACTGACGGTGTGCAGTGAGACGATTTCACAGATTTCCTTCAAAATGATAAACAGGCAATAAAGTATTTGAATTGCATAATGAAGTTACTGACCAGCTATTGTATATTATTATTCCTATCAACTTCTTAAATATTGAATGAGTGAGATCCGTCAGTGGAATAATTTCACGCAATGCATTCATCTGGTAAAATTCCAAGTACCCGCGAAGGAGTCTTGGTTTAAGAGGCTACAGACCACAGAAATAACGTAACATTTATTTTACTAAACAAATGTGTTTAATCATTTTAAGAAACTATTTGAATTTGCAATGGTGTAGATATGCCACTGACTTCCTTTGTAATTTTGTCACAACAATAGAATAATACGATGCCAAAGTACCGTAGTGCTAGTTCAAAGCCTATCGGAAGCAAATGGTCTGAGAGTGCGTTGGCCCTCACTTTCCGTGCCCACCTGTGGCCACTTTGTCTGGATACTTAGTTAAGGTGTACTAAAGAAACGTTTTAAATATTATTCGATGTTAGATGTAATGTAATGCAAGTAGGATTCTATTATCCACATTTAGCCTTTCACCTTTTCTATATTAGATATATCGCTATATCAAAAAAGATGCCACTACTATACCTACCTGGTATGAAGTCGGAAGCTACTAGTGATGATAGTTTTAAAACTATTGCTACAGAGTATCGGGAGTGTTATTACCAAAATATAGTTAAAATACAATTAAAACAACACTACAGACAGATATGCATAATCCAAAATAAACATCAAGAGGACGTTTAAAACACTAACTGAGACTGGCTTCGGAAGTTATTAGGTGAGTGGCCGATATAAGGCTAATAAGTGTCATATAATTATCTAGATCAGTGCCTAAGCTATTAGACGCTGCAACGCGTATTCACTCAAGTGCAACTACACAACCGTGTTGTACATTTTTACATCAAATATAGTCTATAATTATAAAAATACTCTTGTATAAAATACTTTTGTATTATTATTCAATCTCGTCGAGTGTTGCGAAATGGCATTTTTTATATAATTGTAAAGGCAAGTTGTCACCTATACGCATAAATAGCACCATTTATTGCACAGCTCATTGGAGACCTCCCATGTATTATCGTTTTTGAAGACTGTTGTTGTCTTATTTCTCTCTCTCGATCGATCCCTGTCCAATTCAAGACGTCAGACGAATACGACTTTAGTCACACCGACGTTCAGAAGAAGTTGGCCTTCAGCCGCTCCATAAATCCTGCCCCGGTTTTATGTGCCATCGATTCACTGCCAGTTGTGTCCAACATTAGAATATGTAGTTTGAAAAAGCTCTAGTAATTTCACTGATGCATCTATTTCTTCACATTTTAACATGTGCTTACCTATGTTATCTATAAAACATACTAAAATCAGTTGTGCTATTATACATCCATGAATCATTTAGCAGTTACAATTACCAACCATACAACTGTTATC